TTATAATAATTTTATATATATACTTATTCTATTATTAAAAACAAAATATTCAGAATATAATTGTATTGAACTTATTTTTCTTTATATAAATCTTCATGACTTTATAAATATATCTGTAATCTTCATTATGAAATATTTTATATATATAACATATGATCATTTGTATAATTATAAATAATAGTGATAAATCTTCAGTATAATATAAGTTTTTAAATAATATTTATAATTTATATCTAATATAATTGTAATATTAATAAAGAATAAAACAATATATAATATTTTATATGAATCAATGAATTCATTATATTTTCAATAATAAATAAGAATAATACTAATGTAATAAAGTTGTATTTAATTCATAAAATGCATATTTTGTTTAATAAAATAAAAAAGATTAAATTGAATTGCCAAAAAAAAAAAATAAAAATGTAATAAATTAACAAATTTCATATGTGAATAATTAATATAATCAACATACTTATTAATGTTACAAAAATATAATATAAAACTACCTTTCGCACAATTTTATTATATAAAAAAAGAATTATAAATTCTCATGTTTATCAATCATTGTTGGATTCAACGTTATGTACATTACGTGATTGTTATACAAAACACATACCTAAAATATATAATTATAAAATATTAGCTATTAATAAAGAGTAGTTGATTTAATTTACATTTAATCAAATACAATATCTTGACACAAATTGAAAATTTTCCATATTATCTGATACAAAAAATTGTATATTTCTTTTAAAAAGGTTTTTTGTTGATAAATTTTTACGTACAACCACTTAAAAAATAAAATCAAAATCATAGGAAAATAAAAATCCATTAAAATAAAAATACTCTAAAAATTACATAAATGCTATAACCTACAACTTAACATAATCGCTATATCATATAGATTAAATCCTAAAGAAAAAACCTATATATAATTATATTAATCGCTAAATTCAGAACTTATATGCATATATATCTCAGAAAATATTAAAATTTTAAAAAAGTAGTTGATGCTTAATGTTTAAAGAGATACATCTTTAAATATTATATAAAACAATATTATTATATATACACATAGATAATGATCTGTATTTTTATGTAAAATAGTTAAAATTATTATTTATGTTAACGAAATATTTAAAACATCATATTATATATATATAAATTATAAATATGTAAAAACAGTTTTTCATATTGTTGTGATTATATTGAAATATTCTTGCTTTCAAATTTATTTTATACATTCTTATAAAAAATATAATTATATTTTATTTTTTAAAACAATGTTACTACACCAAATGTAATTTTATTTTTATGATTATTAGTTCGCTGACTTATATGATATTTGGTAATCATTATAATTTAAGTTGTGGTGTGTCTCATGAAATGAATCCATTAGCTTTTGATGGTATCTTTTTTTTTTATTAAACCTACTTTTTAACTTTCTCACCCTTGGTTTTACAAAAGATCCATAATTTGTGTACTGAAAATAAAGCATTTATATGGTATATTTAAATATATTTTAATATATTTTTTTTATAATTAATATAAATTATTTGAAATTTAAATTGTAATATAACATAAATTTAGATAAGCTAAAATTGTTTTTAACTTTATACAAAATAAACATAATTGTTATAATTGAAAAAGAGAAAAAAATAATTCCTGAAGTACTTCCTAAACTATCACTTGTTTCTATTATCGCACTTGCCTCTGTTCTTGTGTCTGCACCTGCGCCTGTGTTCTTTTCTGAGATCGTATTTATTCCAGTGTTTGCACTTGTTTCTGTGTCTCTGAATGTATATCTATTTTTCCACTTGTTTTTGAAGTATTGCAAGACAGAATTGCCATATCTACAATCACGCCAACTAGTTAAATAACCTTTATATATTTGAAAAACTTTTTCTAGTTCTTTATAAAGGCTTTCATTCATAGTATCCTTATATTTTTCTAAATATTCCATACTTCGTTCAAAACTTTGAACTCTGGATAAGCCTCTATTATGCGGAGTATAAAATTCTTTAATTAAATCATATATATTATCTAGATTTTCCAATATTTTAAATGTATCTTCACCAATGTTTACATCATGGTTCTCACATATTTTAGATATAATTTTTTGAGAATCGTCAACACTATTATTTATCATTTCATAATAATATTCCTTCGTTGTATGAATATTCGATCCAAATTTTTTCAATAGATTTTTTTTTAGCTTGTAATGAAAACATTTACAATATGATTTCCTATTATCAAAATCTGTTTGTTCTTTTACCTTTATATGATATAAATATAAACACAGAACTTGGCATAATTGAAAGAATTTCCATTCATTTGTAATTCCTACTGCATTCCTAAATTTACTGCATAAGTTTGTACAATTACTAGCATTATTACCGCCTCTATTTGTAAGTAAACTCCAACTGAAACCATTATTACACGCATCAAATATACCAGTATAATCGAACTAAAAATAAAAGTTATAATATACAAAAAATAAATATTTAAGAAAATAAATTCTCGCCCGGTTTTAAATAAACAGAGTATTTTAAAATTATGCTCATAAATTATAATTATAATAAACCTTAGGATCATACATTATTACTATACATTTGTGCATCGTTCATATTTTTTTACATATCTTGATTAATATATATTAATTTTTATTCTTCTTATAATAAAATATTGTTTCATAAAAATATAAGAACATATTGTCTACTTATAACATATATACTGATTTATATAATTCATTTAATTTTATATTACATCAATATATTAAATAAATTATTCAAATATTTTAAACTGTATCAATGTTATTTGTTCCGTATAGGGAAATTATATTTTAAAGGAAATATGAAAATTAAAAAATATGTTCATATAACAAGGAACGTATTATAACATTAAATTAAGAACAATATTATTT